GTTAACTCAGCGTTTATACGGCAAATTTTACCATTTTGCAAATTGTTATTTGCGAATAATACGTGCGTATAAGTACATAGTAATATATATGTATGCACATATGAGCCTACCTAGTAGATAAAACTGGCAAAAATAGCACGCATCTATTCTTCTGTGCATGAAAATATATACATAAATAAATACATACATATGTGTATATATGTATGTATATACATATCTACATGTGTGCATACAATCGTTTGCTCTAAATTCTTAGTTGATGCAATTTTTATCCCATACATTTTTGCTGACCAAACAACCCGTTTGCCTGTCTAATCTGCTTGCCTCATTTGCCTCGCTCATTTACTCGCCTCGCTCGTCTGCTGCTGCAAATGAGTGCCTCGCTCGCAACGCCCCTCTCGCGAGGGCAGACCTAATGAGGCCCTCGTTTGCTTGCCGCTCTACTCTTGCGCCGCCCTCGTTTGCTTACTCGCTCGCTGGCTACTCGTCGCGTGCGCTCGTACCTAACGAGTGCTCATTTGCAAACAGCCTCGCGTGTTCCTCGTGAGTTGCGCTAACTCAGAGCAAACTAACGAGCGAGCGAGTGGCCAAAATGAGGCAAATCCGAACCCTGCAATTTACTCGCATTTCGAGGGCAAAATTGAAGAAAAGAAAATTAAATGCAGGCACTGTCGTGATTTTGGAGAAAGATGACTGAATTGTGTGTTTATTGCAATCTTTTATATGTAAGAATGTGTTATAAACAGGGAACGGATTTTATGGAAATTGCCTTTTTTTCTGCTAAATAGATAGAGTATATTCGATTAAGAATGTCCACGATTTAGCTTTCCCTGATTCCATATATACACATTTGATGTTGCCTCTTTTAAGATATTTGCCTTTTTTTGCCTTTTCNTCTGCTAAAGAGATAGAGTATATTCGATTAAGAATGTCCACGATTTAGCTTTCCGTGATTCCATATACACACATTTGATGTTGCCTCTTTTAAGATATTTGCCTTTTTTTGCCTTTTCTACCTTTAAAAAAGTGATTATAGGATTAACAATTTATTTTGNATATTCGATTAAGAATGTCCACGATTTAGCTTTCCGTGATTCCATATACACACATTTGATGTTGCCTCTTTTAAGATATTTGCCTTTTTTTGCCTTTTCTACCTTTAAAAAAGTGATTATAGGATTAACAATTTATTTTGTAAGATTAAAAAATATACACATGCCCATGCGGCTTATAGAAGCGCAGAGACCTCTTGCCAAATTGGTGTTGGAAAAATCCAAAGCCGTTTTCTCAGCTCACGTAGGCTTGGAGATATTAAGGGGTGTGGATAAAATTGTAAAGGGCGATGAAAACGCCCTTATTCCTGATAATATGAACGTTTCAAACGTTCCATATTTAAATTGGGCTCCACTTGTATCAACTTACGTCGAGCGCACATTTAGTACATTCAAGGCTTTTCTTCGCGAAAATCGAATGAAAATGCTGCCAGAAAACTTCAAAATGCATCTTGTGGTTCAATGTTACTACAACTATACAGATGAGCTGAGAAAACGGCTTTGGATTTTTCCAACACCAATTTGGCAAGAGGTCTCTGCGCTTCTATAAGCCGCATGGGCATGTGTATATTTTTTAATCTTACAAAATAAATTGTTAATCCTATAATCACTTTTTTAAAGGTAGAAAAGGCAAAAAAAGGCAAATATCTTAAAAGAGGCAACATCAAATGTGTGTATATGGAATCACGGAAAGCTAAATCGTGGACATTCTTAATCGAATATACTCTATCTATTTAGCAGAAAAAAAGGCAATTTCCATAAAATCCGTTCCCTGTTTATAACACATTCTTACATATAAAAGATTGCAATAAACACACAATTCAGTCATCTTTCTCCAAAATCACGACAGTGCCTGCATTTAATTTTCTTTTCTTCAATTTTGCCCTCGAAATGCGAGTAAATTGCAGGGTTCGGATTTGCCTCATTTTGGCCACTCGCTCGCTCGTTAGTTTGCTCTGAGTTAGCGCAACTCACGAGGAACACGCGAGGCTGTTTGCAAATGAGCACTCGTTAGGTATGAGCGCACGCGACGAGTAGCCAGCGAGCGAGTAAGCAAACGAGGGCGGCGCAAGAGTAGAGCGGCAAGCAAACGAGGGCCTCATTAGGTCTACCCTCGCGAGAGGGGCGTTGCGAGCGAGGCACTCATTTGCAGCAGCAGACGAGCGAGGCGAGTAAATGAGCGAGGCAAATGAGGCAAGCAGATTAGACAGGCAAACGGGTGGTTTGGTCAGCAAAAATGTATGGGATAAAAATTGCATCAACTAAGAATTTAGAGCAAACGATTGTATGCACACATGTAGATATGTATATACATACATATATAC